TGACATGTTCATTTAATAAACTTATATTAAAATAATAATAATAATAATAAAAAAAAAAACAAATACCACAAAGGCATTTCTTCTTTTTGTCAAATAGGTTCTCATGATTCAACTATAAATATCAGGATCACCATGACTTCTTCGTTCAATGTTTTGACAATAGTATCAATATGGAATTGAGTCTTATAATTGTTATAAAAAACAACATAATAGGTGTTCTTATTCTTTTCTATGAAAAAAATTTTTATGTAGTAAACATTTTCTTCAACCAACTTATCCTTATATCGCAGAGTATTAGAATTCCAAATTATAGTATAAATAATTTTTTTTTTTTTGCAAACAAATAACTAATGTTAATAGAAATCATTAAATACCTAAAAGACCAAATGTAATAACTTATAAAATTACCTTCTTATCGGCCAAAACCATTTCAGTAGTCAAATGATCTCTTTCATGTTTCTAACTAAAAACATCTCACAATCTACATATTCACACTTTAATCTTCCAATCTTCTTTATCAAATGAAAGTTGATTAAGAAATATATATTCCATATCTTTTGCAATTAATTTACCTCTAAAATTTTAGCAACAAAGTATTTTAAAATGAAAGAAAAGATGTAACATAATTAGGAAAAAAGGATATTGATGGTTAAAATCACATACCTATTTATATTGAGAAAATGCAATCCAAGCAACTATATGTTGCAACCAAATTTTGAATTTAAAAAAATCTCTAAAACAAAATAACAATGAAAAAATTTCTCACTTCTAATAATTAAAATCTTTAGAAAAATAAACATAAGGAGTTTAAATAGTCGACAGTTGACTCTTCATTTTTCTTTTGTTAAATAATTTTCTTTTTCATTTTTTGAATATTTAAATGGCATTACCTTTTCATCTACCAAAAGATAAACCAATCTTAAATAATACTAATTAATATGCTGCAAAAAAAAAAAAGGGGGAAATAGTCTTGCCTCTTCATCTAAATTATCTTTAGCTACCATTGAAAACTTAATTAACCTTGATTTATTATTTGTACTGTATTATATTATATTATTATTACATTATTATTATATATCATATATATATATATAAATGCATACCCTATTTACTGTATAAGGTAACATTATACATATATAAAAATATATAAATTAATGTTTATCAACATAACCTCCAAAACATTAAGAAGAAAATATCTTAAAATTACTCCCTTTTTTTAATAAAATCAAAATACTCTCATTT